TTTTGTTAAGAAATGTGTAAAAATAAATATACAAAAAATCATCAAAACTAAAGTAGAAAATATAGTATAAAAAATAATACGTCATAATACAAAAAAAAACTAACAAGTGCCAAAAATTAGATGAAGTATCAAATAAAAACACCCGAAGTTTTGCGTATAATCCGATTTAAAACTTGATATTTATCACTAAGCTTAAAAATTACGACATAATAAATTTTACTACATTCAAATTATTTTTTAGTATCTCCTTAATGTTTTCACATAGGTTATAAGAAAAACATTTGCAAAATAAGCATGACCTTCCAGGGTTAAAGAATTCGTTATTGAGTTAAATTTTTGTTAAGAAATGTTAATAAAAACCAACAAAAGTGAAAAAATACCAAAATACTATAGAAATATAGTCTTTTATAGACATTCTGGATATTCTAGCAAGTTTAACTGTTCAGTCCAATTTTAATAACAAGGAACTAACCACCACTTTATATGCTGAACCACTGAATATGCCCACTCACATCCTTTACCTGCCGTAAGATGAAAAGGAAGCCAACATTTATAGTAGATTATTTAGAAATAGTTTAGTAAGCTGCTACAATGAAACAGTGAACGATTTTCGTTCGGTTTTCCTTTTATTTTTTTTTTTTAAGTAACTTTCTGCAGTTGAAAATTTTCCAGTATTTAGATATAAAATTAATAAAAATGTTCTATGTAGTTCCATGTTCAATAAAAGAAATATTAAAAAAATTTAGACTCTGGTATATAAATAAACTGGTTTACCCTGTAATCGAAACATCGAGATTTCTAAAAAAAAAAAACGCCTAAATATATTTAAAAGAAAACGGGTTGAAACGCCCGGTTTTTTTTCATCGCATCGGGTTAGTATGCCCGGAAAAAAATTTTCTCAGTGGGGGGGGGGGGCATTTTTAAATTTTCCATACACTATCTATCGTCTTCCGATATTTAGCGACCAATGTATGGCGAGCCACCGCCGCTTTGTTGGTATCACGGCAAAGCAAATTAAAGCAGCGGTACAGCGCTACTTCACAAGACCGCAATATCTAAGGATATGAGCGTGCCCAACACTGAAGCCTTCGGCATCTAATTTCACAAATTTTGGGTAGTCACACCCAAGGCGAATTTATATAAGGTGGTGTTACTAGCTCAGCTGATTTTGTGTATGTGTTTCGCTGCACGGCTTCTGATATCAATTTGAAAAATTTTGTTTGAATTTCTACACACACTATTACAGATTTTGACAGTTTATGCCGCCAAAGCAAAAACAAAATACATGTAAATTTTTGTTTTTGTACTCCTGCTATCACCTTATATTAATTCGCCTTGGTCACACCCAGGACCATACATTTAAAAACGAAAAATTACCACAAAGCTTAGGGAAATGATCGTTTTAATCTTTGTTATATTTAGAAATTCCTATACGTATCTCAAGTTGTCGAAAAGCTGAACCCAGTCTAAATTTATGCCTGTTTGTTAAGAAATAATATTATTTATGGAATTCCATCATAAATGTGTAGAAGGTAGAATATACTTAATTTTCCTAGTCTTTTTTTCGCCGTTTCCTGCTGATGTTGCTGCTGCTACCGCTGATGGCTCTGTCATTCAGTCATTGCACACAGAACAGCTGACTTTCAAGCCGCGATAACCTCAATGACCGACTTTATTGTGCAAATTATACAGATAGTATATACTCCGCGCTCGTTCAGTTCAACAATGATAATTCAATTTCATTTCAAGTAAAGAATGAAACTGAATGAAAAAAAAAACAAAAACAAAAACAGAATTACAGTTTTAAAAAAGTACAAAAACGAATGCTTTGAAGGCATTTGTAGGAAAGGAAAAAGCCAAAGCGCACAGTAAACAAAAACAAGCGCCAGAGGGTGAGAAAAAATACAAAAAAAAAAATAGAATAAAATAAAATAAAAAATAAAACTAAAAAGCGTACCCTCTAAATGCAAAGCTGAAAAGTTATAAAATAATGAAGAGTATGTCCGCTTATCAGCTAACGACTGACGGACCACCTGACTGCCTGACGATTTGACTGACCGCAGAATATTTATAAGCATGATGTACTATATATGTATATGAGAATCGCTGCTGGCAGCCGCAGATTTCAGCGCGCTCGACCCGAAATGATAAACAGCGGAGTTGTTGTTTTTAACGCAGAACCTTTGGAAAACCGCAATTTAATTAAAAATTATTGCAATGACGTGATTTGTATATTTTTTCTAGATTAAGCTCTTCTTCGCAAAAATATGGAAAAGGCGGGAGTAAAAGAAAAAAAAATGAAACAAAAAGTGCTGGCCTATCATTCATTGGCCTATGGACTGACTGTATACGAGTCAATAATCACTTATATTAAGGAACGTTGTATAGAAAACTTGGCTTTTGTAATTTTTCTTATATTTTGTGTTACAACAACATTTTACACACGCGTTCGTCTTTGTTCTGAGTATTGTTTACAATTTCGCACTACATTTTTTTTATACATATTTATGTACAGTGGCGGTCAAAAATGGATGAATGGTGTTTCGTTTTTAATATTTGCAACGTTTTTCAAGCTGAATGTTTTTGATATTTTTTACAAAAATATGATTCATGCTTTAATAAAAACCATATAAATCACAGTTTCAAACTTAATACAGAACTTAAAAAAAAATTAGCAAATTTGTATCTAAATTTCGAGCTTTTTAACCAGAATTTTTATATATTTTTTTTGTGCATGCAATTAACAGGCAAAATGTTAGTAAAATAAATACAAGTTTTGATCAGCTAAAAAATCGCATTGAGTTTTAATATTTTTTTTTTTTTGCTGGTGGCTTTTGCGGTTTTTTTTTTTCATAGAAATAGCGAAATTTAGGTAAACTGGCGTTGATTTTTTTTTTTTTTTTTTTTTTTACTTTTTTCGCAAACGGTCTTGCTCATACTCTTCCAAAAGAAATTCATGTTTATATAGAAAAAAAAGTGCAAACGCCGTCAACTAAAAAAAGAAATTTTAAATCAATGCTATTTTTTAGCAGCACAAAACTTGCACTTATTTTACTAAAATTTCATAAGCCTGTTAACTGCATGCCCCAAGAAAATTATAAAAATTCCGGTTAAAAAGCCCGAAATTTAGATAAAAATTTGTGGAATTTTTCTAAAATCTGTATAATGTTTGAAAGTCCAACTTATATGGTTTTTGTTAAAGCATGAACCATTTTTTTATAAAAAAAATATCAAAAAAAAATTATCTTGAGAAACATTGCAAATATTAAAAACGAAACAACATTATTCATCCACTTTTTACCGCCACTGTATATTGTACACATGTTGTGAAGTTGGCCTCGAAGATATCAAAGCTTAAAACAATATGGTATGTAAGAACGTGCCTATGAATGGAAATACTCTTATAATCACATGAATATTAAGTATGTAAATATTAACAAATTTTAAGAAAAATTTTACAATTCCAAAAATAATTGGGGAAAATTTCGGCAGCGCTAAATTGTTGATATGAAGTATAACTTGCAACGGAAATGTATCGAGAATTCATACACGTGTACAAGAAAACGTGTAATGAGCGAAAAGACGAAATGCCTTAAATGACGTTTTATTTTTGAAAGAAAAAAAATAAAATTTATTGAATTCATTGACACTAGCGGTAGCCAATTTTGGCAAACAATGGCGGAAATGGAGCGCGCAGTGTGTTGTAAAGGATAGAAAATGTACCAAAAACAAAAAAAAAAAAATAAATGCAAATACCTATAAAATCCGTAGCAAATAATTATGTGAAGAAATAACTTTGCAATTTGGAGAAAAACAATTATATATAGTTAGTTGAAAAATGTCGTCGGGAGATCATTCAATAGTTCTGTCTGTATTGTTTTCAATATTTTGCTTAAGTTTAAATAATTCTTTAATACTTGTGCCTTACCAATGTTGAGTTTTACGATTTTATTTTGCATAAGAGACTTACCTATAAAGAAACAAGAAAAAAGTTAAATTAAATATTGTACCAAAAATTTAAAAAAAAATATTCAATAGTTTTGGTTGTTTTTTTTTTTTTTTTTTTATAAATATCACTTTTAATTTTGACCGAATTTTTTAAAATACATACAATTTAAGGGTATGAGCGAAAAACGGATAATTAAAAAAAAATTGGTCCTAACATTCTAAAATTTATTCAAATGTCTTTTTGAGGTTTGAACGTCTCAGGAAAGCAATGGAATTCTGAACATCGTAAAATTTTGAGCCAGCAATCAAAAAAATCTGAATATAAAATAAGTACTCTTTACATTAATGCAATGTGTTTTAAATTTCTATTAAGTGATTCAAAATATTAAAAAAAAATAAAAATAAACAATATTAAAAAATAAAAACAATATTAAAAAATGAAAGCAATATAAAAAATTAAAACACATGTACAAAAAATATGCATACACACTACATATGTACAAAATAAGAATCTAAAAAACCATAAAAAATACTAAACAAAAACTAATAAATATAAAAACTTGCCAAAGTAAATAATTAAATTTTCCTGAGTTTTTAAAAAAAAGTTTAGAAATTTCATTTTAATATTTACTTGTAGTATATATTATATTTTTATAAAAAATTAGCGGAAAAAAATTAAAAAAAAAATTTGTTTGCATCGATTGTGTAAAATTCTCCGTGCCAATAACACTCTTTTCGGCAGTGTAAGTACAAAAAATATACATGTATGTATAAAAAATGAAAAAAAGAACATAGAAAAAAAATAAAAATATGAAAAAAGTAAAGCAAAAATAATAAATATAATACCAAGGTGAAATAAATAAGCCAAAAGTCATTATTGTGCCGCAAAAGTTCAGTTTTAAGTTTCTTACACCTCTTTGAGTTTGGAATTATTTCTCAAATTCTTTTACTCTTGCAAAATTTCAGAGCTCAAATCTTTAGCATGCAATTTTTATACACACCATTTTCTTTTATTATACAATAAATTTTTCATAAAATCGCCCCACATTTACCTAAGACAGTTTTAAACTTGCGAAACATTTTGTTCCAGCTGACGCAGGATGCGACGGACAGCGACTTGTTGCTCGCTGTTATGCGCGTATCTGCCTGTTGGCGGCTCTCGCCCACTCCGGTGGCTGCTGCCAGCGCCTTCTTTTCGTGTCCAGCACCTCCGCCGCCGCATTTGTGCTTACAATTACTACTTTGCCTATGATCCTTATAGCTATCATCACAGTTTGTCGCATCGTCTATGACATTGCGTTGTTTTTTGGATGCCATAGTCGATCCATTGGTGATTGGTTTCTTGTCAGTCGTGGCAGCAGTGGCGGCGGCATTTGAGGTCAACGTTGTGCGCCTCTTACGCTCGTCTTCGCGCTTACTTTGTTTCCTTTGCGCCTTCTGTTGCTTCTGTTCCTTCTCCTTCTGCTTGCGTGCGTATTTCTCACGCAATTTCGGACTGCCGAACTCGTCCAGATAGTACATGGTGTCTTGGAGGCCATCCTTCTTGTTGATCAATTTCGAATCGATATACGGATCGTCGGAGATTTTCAGCAGCGGGAAATAATAATTGCCATCAGTGGCCAATACTTGTGATTCGGGGTTTGTGGACTTAGTGGCTGCTTGCGGTTTGCTACTACTATTACTACTATGATCTCTAGTGCTACTACTACGATTATTGTTTAGGTTATTATGATGATTACTACTGCTAGTGGTTGGCTTATTTGTTTCATTGGCTTTGAGGAGGGACGTAGAGTAAGTGACACTGCCTACCGGCGCTGAGGCGCACTGCGCATGCACGGACGATTTGACGCCCAAATGGTGGTTAGGAGCCGAGGCATCCTTGGCGGCTTGCAGGGATTTGGTCGGCACAATTTTTCCGAACGAACCGTTGAGTGTTGTAGCCGCAGCGGGCACTGAGACGCTGCCGGATTCGCCGACAACGCCCGAGTTGTTACCGGAATCGCTGCCACTGTCACTGTCGCTATCACTGTCATCGTCATCTTCATCGACGTCCACATCCTCGTCATCGCCGACTCCCACGTCCAGCTCATCGTCGTCCACGTCAACGTCCTCATCCTCATCACCAACATCGACTACATCGTCGTCATCATAATCTTCGGGTATGTCCACCTCTTCGATGCGGTCCTCGAGACCCTGCGTGCAGGTGCTGGCGCTACTGCGATACTTGATGCGACGCCCACCGCTGCCACTACTCAAGCTCATGCCAATGCCCGACGAGTGCTCCGACTCGCCGCCATCTTCTGAGTACTTGGAGAGCGACAGGCCGGACGAATTGCCGCCCAGCGACTCGCTGCTCGACGACGAGCATTGCGTTGACTTGAGATGCTGCTGCGAGCCGGCAGTCGAGTCCGCGTCGCCATCTACGGCCAATGCGCCACCGCTACCGCTGCCATCGACGACGGCATCTATGCCGCTATCCTGCGAGAGCAGCTGCTTGTTGGTGGGCTGCTTGAGCTTCTGCAGCTGCCATTTGGCGTTCGAGCCATGCAGACAAAGCGAATTACAGCGGGTGTCCAGTGAACAGTTGTTCGCTGTGGTGCGATTCTTTTTGACAGCTGCGGCCACATTAGTACTGGATGAGGAATTGCCGCCAACAACGACGCCACTGTCGGCCGAACCGGTGGACACTTGACTGGAGAAGCGCTCGAGCAAGGGTATGGTAATCGGCTTGCTACTGCTGCTGCTGTCTGAGCTGCTGTGGCTGATCAGGGGGGCGCTGGCCGGTGCTGTTGTTGCCATCAGGGTTGAAATGGTGCGCGCAGACACTTGCTCTTGGTGAATTGGTTAGAAAGTTTCTGTTGTTGCTGCTGTTTTGCACTCTTTCTAGCAGTTTACACTGCACTTGTGGCGGCTTAGGCGGCTTTGTTATGCGTTGCCTGTTTTGCCTTGGCTGTTCACACTTTTCGATTTTGGGTTTCTCGATTTTTTGTTTTATTTTATTTTAAAATGCCGCTAATTGGCTTAACAAACTCAGTTGTAGAAAAGCACAGTTTGGAAGGCACTGTTTCAGTTGTTGTTTTTGGGTTGCAGTATTTCGCACTGACACTGAGGACGCATGCACTGAGTGTCCTTGATTCGGTTTTATTGCACGCGGCGCACAAATTTTTCGAAAATTTAATTATGGATATTTATGAAAGGAAACGTGGCGTTTCTAAACAGTCACATTGCACTTGTTTACTTTACTGAAATAGTATAGCCATATTAAGTACTGGGAAATACGCAAGCTTTGGCGTTATTTTACGTATACAATTTTTTGCGTGTTTTTATGAAATCGATATGATTTTAGGTTTTCTCTTTAAATTTTTATAAAATTTCACTTAAAAAAAAAATAAAATTCTCGTCTCAAGATTTCCAAAATCTTATGATTATGTTACAAAAACACTTCTCTTAAGTGTTGTTGTTCTCGTTGCCCGCGTTTTCTGCGTATATATTTCTCTCATCGGCCGAGCGTTCTGTGGTTTTCTTACTGTGACTGTCGAATACTGACTGGCTAACTGACTATAACATGTTGCCGCTCATATTGTCACGATTGTACTAAAATTAAAAATTAAAAAATGCGTTACCATACATACGAACGTCCGCGCGCTCGCACACGAACACGAATGCGAGGAGCAGTAAACTCATACCAGAGCACTTACTGCTCACACGCAAACATTGACCAGCAGCACAGCACACATATGTATGACTGTGTAGCCACGGCGTATGTGTAAAATGTGCGCGAAATATTTTTCCCCATCTGCACCCGCCAGCCTCCATCGCTATGCGGAGAGGCGCATTATCCGAGTAGCCGTTCGTGGAAAACAGAAAAGCGAAAGTTGAACTCTTGACGATTTTCCAAGCGCACATACACACACGTCCACAGGGGGCGAACTAACTCACACACACTCAAGCGAAGACCACCCTGCAGGGAAACCGCGAACTAGTTGAGTCGACTTTCTAGTTACGTACTAGACCTTTATAGCCAAAAACGAACCCGGTCGATTGTAACTAGATCCCCAACAGTTCAAACTCAGCGAAATGTGGTACTTCAAAAAACTATTTTATATCACTTTTTTCATTCGAAATATATGTATCTATGTATGTCTAGAACTAGATCTTATCTGTCGAATTTAGAACTATGTGTTTGGCGGATTTTTCGTTCAAGTATGCTTTCATTCTGCACTTCGCAGATGCTTTTTCATGGTTTGGTAATGCAAAAGAAAAATGTGTGCTGAAATTTCATCATCTTCGGACCTTCTGGAATCTAACCATTAACAGCAAACACCTCTGCAACCACACGGAAACCCAAAAATATTGAAAAATCATGATACTTTTTTCTTTCGTGTGTCGATTTTAGAATTGGTTCCGAACTATAGAATTTAGGGCTAGTTCGCAATATTAAATTCGTCAGTTGCTGGCATGCAAAAAAAAATTAACGGGCACTAGTCATGGTTCTAAATTCTCTAGTACACAACCAGTTCGACACTTGTGCGTTTCCCCATAGGGCAGCCGCGATGACGAGAGGCCACGAATGGCCACCTAAACCACACAACACAAATAGCAAACCAGTGCCAGCCGAATGGAGCACAGCGTGCGCGATAAGCTGTAAATGGGTTGCGTGCGAATGCTTTTTCACTGTGTGCGTGTGTGGAAAAGCCGAAGTGCCTTTTAGTAGTAACGCTACGACAGGTAACACAGCAACACAATTTACGCGAAGCTCAACACTTTGGTGGGATGAGAAAATTTTTTTTACAAATACATGTACAACTACTACTTAAATGAGTGCAATGCAATGAATGGAATTAACGGAAATTAATGGCAAACAAGAAGAAAAACGAAAAAAAAAAATTAAAATAAATTGCAAAACATTAGCGGCAGCTAGTGAGTAGTGTATTTTTTTTAATATTTTTTTTTTTGTTTTGTTGGAATGCTTAGTGGGCGTTGTTGGATTATATATGAGGCAAAGAATTCACATTGCAGAAAAAATAACCTTTTGCATTTCTTGTAATGCCAACCAACAAATACCATACTTGATAAATTCAAAAAAAAAAAAAAAAAAGCTGATAAGCTGTAAGTCTATGGCCCAGCTGACAAGAAACCTCTGCTGCTGATAACGCCGAGCGAGCTTACATTAATTTACGTATTTAAGGGTATCACGGCCGCAGCGCTTGTTTGTTAAAGGTTTTACATAAAGAGCTTACAACAAAGTACGTAAGCGGCAAATATATTTTTAATTAGGCCGATTATAAAAATCTTTAGTGCGATTCCACAGAAGTAAAAATGTAGACAAAATATTTTCATGGTAAGACAGTTAATAAGCAGCTTAGTGAGTGTCACGTCACATGATTTTGAAAGCAAATAAAAATGTATATGTAGATTATCGTTTGCAGCTTCTACGACATGAAAGAAATGGATTTTATTTGATTGGCAATAGCGGCGATGAAATATGTGTATAAAATTATCGATAATAAAGAAGAAATTTATCGATAATAGACTTAAGTTCTTAGTAATAACGAAAACCCAATGCCTCTGGAAAAATATGATCGATATCACAAATACAAATTAGGATAGCAAATAAAAATTATCGATTACAAACAAAAATTATCGATTACAAATAAAAATTATCGATAACAATATCAATGTTTTAACTACAATTATCTTTACCATATAAAAAGTATCAATTTCAATTACGAAATTTTGATTAAAAATAAACATTATCGATAACAAATAAAAATTCGATTACGAATTACACGTTATCTATAACAATCGACAATAGACATAAAAATAATGATTACACTAAAATGACTACCCGCGGAAAAAGCCGATAAATTTGAAAAAAGTATCGATCCCAAAGAACATAATAACTAGTAATTATTACGGTAAAGATAGTCAAACATCGAAAAGCTGTCCATAGCAATAAAAGTGGTGCATTCAGTTCGTATTTACAGTTTTATATCTGAGTTCTACGCCCACTCCCATCCTTTTTTGCATTCGAGTAAGGTTCCGTAGTAATACATAATTACGTAGCTTTCGGCAGAATAGATTTGACTGGACTACTACTTAACTAAATGACAGAAGTTACAACTAAGAAAAAGAAAAAAATCTCTGGAAAATTTCGGCAACAGAGTAATGGTTAACGAGAAATGGTAGTCGGGCAACCAAAGAGGCTTATCAGGGCTTTACGCTTTTCTCATATTCAAATTTAAATTTATATTTCGCCACAAAGAATGCATACTGACAACTTTTTCTAATTAAAGAAGCTAGGCCGCACATCTTCAAGGCGTCTTTCATACACGGCCTTCTGCGGAAGTGAATATACATCGTTTAGGTGGAATCGTTTTCAGTAAGCTTCATAACGTACATTTAAATAAAGCTCCGTGTCCATAAAAAAGGTCTTACTCTGTGTTTTTGGGTAGAGGATTGTTAGCACACGGGCAAATTTATAAATTCCGCCCAGGAACACAACTTAGTAGTACTATTGTCGAGTTCGCTTTGGGAAGAATTTAGGCTGTTAATATTTTTATTTTTCTCGCACAAATTACAGACAAATCCTCATCCATCCCCCTCTCCTTTTATTTTTTTTTTGTTGTAGAGAATTAAGAAGTTATGCGAATTCCCGTAAAAGCACTTGGAACTCGATATGAGTTATGTTAGACCTTCTTAGAATAGTGCACTTCAGCTCTACGTTGGGCTAGTATTGTTCTGTGGTAGAGTATTTGTAAAGTGTTCTAGGGATCCCCTGGACTCACTAAATCCAACTCAGGATGGTTACAACAGCAGTTCGTTTTAACAAATGGCCAGCAGAGCACTCATTGCCGGTGAAAGGTGTTGAGAGATGGGAAGGCTATCTTTGACGGCAGTCCCTAATTAAACAAATTCCAGGCGTTTTAATTTGTTAGCCAATTAATAGCTTGTTTACTTAATTTTCATAATTTGAAATTAAAAAATGTCACAAGTACGTACTTCAAACCTAAGAGCAAACCAAGTTGTTTAAAGATATGCCATCATCATCTGTGTAAGAAATCGGTGCTCTTCAAGCACCTGAAAGCAAATGCCAGTTCCAGTAGCACGAGGAATCTTGCCACCTAATCGCTCAAGTGGTCATATGTACTTGAAAAATTTACGTAAAACTAGGGCGGGGTGGGGGGGCTGAAATTAAAAGGCGACGCCTATTAACTGCTGAAAACTGGTAAAATCTAACGTTGTCACTAATTGACCGCACAAAAAAAAAATATTTTCGAATTTAAAAGGATTACTGATTGATGGGGTTGCAAAAAAAAACAACAACGTGAGGTAATGCAAATTGATGATAAATGATTTTGAGCGATTTGGCGAATGGAATAGGCGCGTTGCACGCCTGTCAACAAAGAAATTTGTATGGTACCGAAATGTCGGTAAATGTTGATGTTTGAGTTGCAGTACTGAAATTTGTTATACGATACTTGACAACAAAGTAATGGTGCAAAAAGCTTGTCTACAGCGTATGCAAACATATTGATATGTTTTGTAAGAGATAGTGTGCTTAGCAACGACTGTAAGGCGAGTGTAAATAAAATCAAGGCGAAGGGTCAGCTGTTATTGCAGGAAGTGTGTGCATGATACAGGTATAAAAGGAGCACCTGTAAGGACATTTATGAGTACATATGTATGTATGTATGTATGTCCTCCAACTCGTTTTCATTTGTCCCTATACTCGCTGTATGACCTCATTTTCGCCAACCATTTTTATGGGCACTCCTGTGTCTGCTGGTTCGCAGCGCCCGGCTGAATTTGAATACATAGAATAGTTATTGTTTTCTGACCACACTTTCTACACTAGTCGCTCTAGCGTTGGTGTAGTTATGAGCCACCCGGCCAACAAGCGATGGGTATATTAATGCATGGTCGGCAAAGGAACTAAATCGATAACACCCCCGACTTTATATTAAATAAAGCAAACGGAAATGAGAAATTAAATATTTTTTACTCAATTGCTACCACGTGCATTTCAAGTTTTACTTATTTTAGGCGAGGATTCTAAAGGAGAAGGGGGCACTTACTAAGTGTCCGATCGTCCGAGCGGTAGAACATTAATTTGAAGCGGTCTGGAGAAACAATATTTGAGCAGCATGCATGAATTTTTAAAAGGTTCTAAGGAAGCGGGTGAGCACAGCCGGTTGCTAACTATATCCGTAACATCCCGCCACAAACAAAAAAAAAGCAG